CCCCCTCTTAGGCATACTCTGAACTTACAATGGAGAATGTTAAAAATAGATATGATATCAGTTCAAATATTATCAGTTCAACTACAACATATTTACATTTGAGGTCAACCTAAAGCAACTAAAAGTTTCAAACTCCAATAATGCATTCAACTATGAGAACAATAAAAATGGAAAATGAAAAACTTCAAATACCTTAAAATGGTGGAAATGTGCTGGTGAAGGACGAAGATAACTGTAAAAAATGGACGGACGGCGGCGGAATGAGGTGACGACGGAAAGACCGGAGGAAAGGCGATGGACGGAGGCACGGACGGAATGCGTCGACGGTGAATAAGGCAATGTTCGCAAGTGGAAAGAAGAAAGAAGGAGACTGTTTTGATTCTGCAAAAATACTGGGATATTTTAAATTTATGCTACTTAAACCTATAGCAGGGCTTTTGCATGGCATTTAGCAGCGCTTTTAGAAAGCCCTGATATAGGTCTGCCTTAGGACCCCCCTTTAGCAGCGCTTTTAGAAAGCGCTTTCTTAGACCCCCCCCCCTTAGCAGCGCTTTTTTAAAGCGCTTTCTTATACCCCCCCCCCCTTTTAGCAGCGCTTTTTTTGAAGTGTTTTCTTAGGCCCCCCCTTTAGCAACGTTTTTTTCAAGCGCTTTCTTAGACCCCCCCCCCCCCCCTTTAGCAACGCTTTTTTTAAAGTGCTTCCTTAGACCCCCCGTTTAGCAGCGCTTTTTTAACAAGCGATGTCTTAGGTATGCTATTTTTTTTCATGACTCTTTAGCAGCGCTTTTTCAGAAAGCGCTATCTTTCAATACGCTGTTAAAACTCATTTCTAACGTAGTGGTTTAGGATGTTAGAACCTACACTAAAGATATGTCATGTGCTTCTACATTCATTCTGCTCAAAGGGAATAAAGCGAATGAGCCATACAAAGTGTATCTTGGCAGTGTGGTAGTAGGGGATATACATTTTCAGGTGTACGTTGATCAGCGTGAGACGCGTCCCTTTGAAGACATAGCCTTCAACTCTGAATGGCTGACTTGAGGTTCATGTGAAAGTTCGGCTACATGTAGTTTGTTCCCAAAGACCCGTCCATGTCTTCTCATCCCGCTATGATATATAGAGATATGGGTGCCATGTATGATGATTACCGTAGCTCATAACGACTGGAGTGTTGCAGACGACTACATCTAGTGGTATTTTAAAGTGTCACATACTTATATGACACCAGATGCTCCAGGATATCCACCTAGACCAGCTCATCAAGAGATACTAAAGGAAAAGAAAGCTATGAAAAATTATGGTGTTAATGTGTTGCCTAAATATCATCGTATCATAGAGATTATGCAGACGGGTATAGACAGAGGACTCTTTCCGAATGAGTCTAAGGTGAGAGACATTATAGATGTCATGATTGGGAAGGCACAAGAGGCTATTGAGTATAAGAGGCAGCGTAAAAACAAGGGACCTGGGTCTATTATTAAATGTAGTATATAGTATTTGTATTAGGAGCACTATTTTTAGTTGTGTTTTATTTTAACTTCATTGTGTACAAATGATTTATTAATTTATATATCTCATTTTCATAATATTCTGAAAGTGCATGGTTTAATTTATACAAAATTGAAAATGATAGTATAGTTATAATATATCATTAATTTCATCGGTGCATATATAGAAGAAAGGAAAAAATTACTCAATGTTAACACGAAAATGCACCTCTGAATTATGTCTGATATGAATATGGAGATACATCTTTGAATCAGATAATGTAAAAAATAATAATGTTTTAGTGAAGAATGCATGGAGTATAGATGGAATGGTTCTAGACATATTTGTAAGATGTATTTTTAAGCATTTTTGTCTAGACCGACAAATATTTAAGTTATACTAAAATGGATGCATGAGTTTGGTTTTGATACTGTGGATTATGAGTTGGATGCTAAAGGTATAATAGTGGATAGTGAGAATATTCAGCAACTAAGAGTCTGTTGGGTAACACCTAAAAAAGAGCTTTTAGCTTTTAGGCTTTTCATCTCATATTAATAAACAAACTTTGTTCGGTAATTGTCATTTAGCTTTTATCTTGTAGCTTTTTCTACTAGTTTTTTTTCAAAAGCTATTTGATGTAGCTTTTGAACTTATAGCTTTTTTTTCATAATATATATATATATATATATATATATATATATATATATATATATATATATATATATATATATATATATATATATATATATATATATATATATATATATATATTAGTGAATTTTAAATCGGATAATTATACTCATGTCAAGTCACAATATGAAATATTATACAATGTTTAATGTTTTTTAGCAACATTTAATTTACATAATAAATTTTGAAATAGTATTATCAATTCTCAATTTAGTAAAATGTCGAAAGAGAATCATTGAGATCAACTAAGACGAAGAAAATTAAAAATATCATTGTAGTTTTATCATAGAATATTAAAAAATAAATTTATTATTATTATTATTATTATTATTATTATTATTATTATTATTATTATTATTATTATTATTATTATTATTATTGAATTCAAAATTACAATGCTTTCATGTATTTCCTTAAATTTCATTATACAATTTATATATAAGATCAGTATATTTTGATGCTATCTTCATTATAAAATTTATATATAAAATTTATTATATAAGATTAGTATATTAAAAATGTTTCGCATGAGTTTATAAATATATTTATTTTTATCACATAAAAAATAATTTAATAATATAATGTAATAAAATAATAAAATCACTAATTTCTTAATTAAAGGATGTTCTTTTATGTCATTTTGTATTTATTAGTTAATGTAACAACTAATTTATCAAACATTCAAATTAACTTATTAATTATTTGTCATCAGCTATCAACTAATTTTGTCAATCAAAGCCTAAATTATTCGGATTTGTGCTATTATTCGGTAATGTAATCACTTATTAGCTCTTTTATTTAAAAAAATCTAATGTTAAGTGTGTTAAAAAAAAGCTAACGAGATTACTCATGTTTCGGTACATATGACTCAACCTTTTGCTAGTTTCCAAAATTTTATCGAAGTACCAATATGTATTTAAAGTCTTATCTCTCTGCAATATTTCCCTCTCATTTTTTTTAAAAGGCAAAAGGAAACCTTAAAGCTCAGTCTAAGAGCATAAGAAATGTTGCAAAATGAGAACAAGAAGGGTAAACCAAACCAAGGTACATTAGTTCAGAATCAAGCAAAATATAAACCATCACATTATGCACCATTTCAGAAGCAAAGGAAAACGAATACTAATACATCAACTTAAAGGCCAAGGATAAAATATTTAGAAGTCTCCAAATACCCCAACCTTGTAGCAGCCAAAATAAATACCTTACAACCCAACCTCGACGCAGAAGCGGCACCGAAAATACGAGAGCAGAAAAATCACCAAAAGACTAACTAACAGCACCAAGATCTTGATCACAACTAAGAACGCAGATGATCGGATAACAAATATATGCCAACAACTCCTTGAATACCCAAACTTGAAAGACCAAGTGTGCTATATTTCTGAAATTGAAAGACAAGCAAACCACCCTAAAAGCAGATTACATTTGCTGAACGGAAATCAAAACCACAACAGTTCTGATAACCAACCACCGAACCACTACCATTGTCAAATGACAATTAGAGAATAACACTGTGTGAAAAGACTATCCTCAACCATTCTAAGACCTTAATATAACCACATTCTCCAAAGCAAATATTTAACTACCCCTCACAACACTTTAAAATCAAGAGTATAAGAGAAAATATTAAAAAAAGTCAAATAAAAACTTAAAATTCTTTTGCGTGGTACATCTTGGAATGAAAAACTTGAATTCTATATATAACACTGGGCTCCCATTTCCTTCACAAAACTAAGCAATATGGGACTTGAACTCTCTCTTAATTCACAAGACTAAGTGATTTAAGACTTCTTTAACATGTATATTTGCAACCAACTCCAACATAACCAACCATAAATTCATAGACCAAGCAGCCGAGCCTCAACAACTAAATACATTGCAATTCCTCCCAATTAGAAAATTCTAGCGGACTAAATCACTTTAAAACAGAGAAACTTTGACAACCTACTCGACTAAAAGCACAACCGTAATAGTCATTGAGAAGGTCCTACTTTGGGCATGCTGCGACAAAATCACTAAACGGCAAGACCGAAACTCAAACAGCTCAGGCATATGAGACTATTGCCAGCAACCAAACCTACCACCTCTATAATGATGATTCAACAAACACTACGATCGAAAATCTTCAGAGATTCACCACCTGAACTTGATTTGAAACTAAGTCATTTCCATGATAGAACTTTTGGATTCTCGCCTTTTAAATTGCCACCACACAATCGAACCAAATCACCCCTATCTTGGAGACCGCCCGACTCCCTCTGCCCAACAACCCTCCAAACTACATTAAATGTTGCAGCCATCAAAATACATAGTAGTGGAAGACACCATACTATGCATTTCCCTTGATTACACCCAAACCCAACCCAATTTTTTTCCCATTGAGATAGAGACGGGAAGACTTGGTACACACATAGGCCTACTATCCTATTTGAATTTTGTAAAAAAAATTAATTTTAATATTGAAACTAATAGTTAAGTTATATTGTAGTATAATTGTGCTTGTCTTAGAAATCAACAAAAATACTAATAGTTGTACTATTCAAATGCTATTATGCTACCTCAATCCCTAAAAACTATATGTATTTAGAAAGCTGAATGTGTTAGTATTTTATGTTTTAAAAGCGGAAATTATTTCATGTTAAAGGAAAGGAAACAACATTTTTCATTCATACAAAACTCAAAGTTGCATTACATAACGAACAAGAGCAAGAGCATTAAAGAACTCACAAACCTACAAAAACATAAAAACATAAAAGAAACCAGATTGGAAAACTAACAAGACCAACGAAGTAAAAACAACCGAGAAATCAACGAATGAAACCCTAGCGACCAGCATAAAGAATCCTACCAATCTCAAACGAAACAAAAGCATCAATACAAGCATACCGAACCTGCTGAGGACTAAGGTTAAAATCATTCCATTTACTCATGGTAATCCTCCTCGGTTTCTCCATACCCTTCCCAAGAACATGTAAAGCCAACGTTTTAAGCCCAGCACATTTCATATGATCACCCAATTTCTCAACAGCAAGGGTGCAAAGTTCAACAAAGTTTGCAACGCGCAACGAGTAATCTCTAAGAAGCTTCTCAACGTCCTCTCCAATACCAACACCGAGAAACGTGTTTTCTTGGTCCTCGAGAAAAGCAACAAGTGATTCTGGAATAGATGGAGCGTGGATGATTTGGAAAACAAGGCATTCTCTGTCTACACAGAGTTGGAGGACAGCGACGGGGTTGTCCATTGAGGGTTGTCTGTTTGGGAGCCACTCCACGTCGAGGCCAACAAGGTAGCGGCGGTTGTGGTTATTGCGGGGGAGATTTGAGAGCCAATCTTTGACTACGGAAGGAGTATGTGTGACGGTTGTGTGAATGACTTGAGAATGAAAAACAACATCATACTTATTGTTGGTTTGGCTAACTATGTTGGTGGACATTTTGAATTTGAAGAAGAACAATTTTGTCTTTTTTTGGTTTAAAGAGTGTGATGCATGGAAATGAACGTTTCGGTTTCTATGACATATATAGCGGTTTCTCAATTTCTTTACGAACGCTTCGGTTTCTATTACATAATGACACTTATATTTCCAAGGCTATTGAAGAAGTACTTTGACAGCTTGAGGTTAGAAACAAAATACTCCATTCTTTTTTATAATCAAATTTTAACTTTTTAAATTTATTAAATAAATAATATATTTGGACAATATATAAATTAAATATATTAATTTATAATAATATATAAAGGCAAAACACAATTTTCGTGTAGTCTTTTTTATTTCCAATTTTGACCCTAATAAATTGATTCTTTTACACTATTTTTTATTGTTAATAAATTAGTAAGTTATTATTCATCATTTTTAGTAACAAATAACTTATTAATTAAATTAATTAAACAAGAAATAATAATAAAAAAATAGTAGTAATTTCTAAAAATAATTAACTGATTTATAACCCACTAATTCCATTAGTGAATGAAATAGAAGCATATAACAACTTCCGTACTTAATTAAATTAATTAAATAAGAAATGATAATAAAAAAAGTAGTAGTAACTTCTAAAAATAATTAACCGCTTTATAACCCACTAATTCCACTACTTAATGAAATAGAAGCATATAACAACTTCCGTACTCAACTAATATTACTATATTTAATTATATATTTAATTGTTTTAATTTTGAAGATTTATAATGTATTTTATTTATGACTAAATCTATCCAAAGCTTTTTCATAATAAAATTGAATGATAATGATTATAAAGTTCGTATACTCTAAGTTTTGATAAATTACATACTTAAAATAATCACAATTATATATTATCTTTTAAATATTTAAATAATTACTGATCATTATCTTCAATAACTTTTCTCATACAATTTAATGAATTGTACGGATAAGTGAATTATAATTGTCTAAAAAAATTCATTGGAGTTCTTAAAATATAGTTTTTGAAAATATGATTAACCAATATTTTATTTTATTTTAAAAACAATTTTTTAAAATAAATTATAAAATAATTTTAAAATTTTGAAAAATCTCAGTCAAATCTAAACCATCTATTACTTTAAATCCAACGATAGAGGATAAACAGTTTTTTCATTTCCCGCGCAGAATGATATATAAATACCTCTTTCATCTTCTACTTTTTCACATTCAAAATTTAAAAGAATAAACAGTTTCTGAAAATTTCTTACAAAAATGCCAGGTCGTAGAAAGGGTATTGAGGATCGGAAAGGAAGGAGCAAAGAGGCATAGGATATGATTCTGCGCGACAACATTTAAGGAATTACAAAGCCAGCGATTCATAGATTGGCGAGGAGAGGAGGTGTCTAGAGGATAAGTGGTTTGATCTATGAAGAAACTAGTTATTTCTCAAGGTTTTCTTGACAAAAATCATTCATGATGCTGCTTCATATACTGATCATGCAAGAAGGAAGGTTGTGACTGCCATGGATGTTGTGTATACTCTTAAGAGACAAGGAAGAACTTTATACGGTTTCGGAGGTGGAAGAAGATACTCTTTTTATTTATTATTATGTTATCTTTTTATTGTCTAAGTTGTGTAATTTGTATTTTTGTTTTTGCATTTTTAAAAAAGTTTATATCTAAGTAATAGTCGATGATTATACAATGATCATCGTCTAAGTTATGTAATTTGTATTTGTATTTTCAAAAATGTTTATTTCCAAGTATTAGTTGGTTGGTGATTATGCAATGATAATGACTAAATACTACAATATGTTTTTTCTATTGTATGGTTTATGGACAAAGTTATACTATATATGCATTATACTAAATTTATGATGATTTTAGTTAAGTTAAATCTAACTTTTATAATTATAGATAAACTGGATATGAGTCGTTGGTTATTTTTCTTCTTTAACCATCATTAACTTCAATTAAGAAAAACTTATGGAAACTTTAACACATATAAATCTTCTTTGCATGACGATTTTTGAAGAGTGTTTACTGGTGATCATACATAGAAAATAAATGAATTAATTTTTTTCATTATAGTTTGTTAAAAATGAATTTACACGTATGTATGTATTTTAATTGGTGACCGGTTTTGTTAAGTTACATTTATAATTATTTTGGTGTATTACCCACAAGGTTTTGTTTTATTTAGAAGTCATGCGTAGAAAATATTGTTGTTAGATTTTGTTCCGGTATGGGCCCGACCTCGGCAGGCCCAATACCACGTACGACCCAACAGGCGGATCGGGCACGCCGGGCACGTGCGTCCCTCGAGACGAGCGGAGCATGCCGCCGGACACAAGCAGCGCACCAAACAACATCTCATCATCCCTCGTACCAGACGAGCAGATCCATCCCCGGCACACCAAAGCATGACCGTGGTTCCTCCCCTCCGCGGGGAGAACAACCTGCTTCCCAGGAACCTCCCGAGCTCCCCTCCGCGGGGAGAACAACATGCCCGGTGCACGTTCTCCACGTGCTCCCCTCCGCGGGGACACGTCATCAACCAACTGCCCACCTCCGAAAGAGCAGGTCAAACCCACTTTCCGGAGATCTAGGAGCAGTTGGACTAGGGCGAAGACCACGTCCTGGTCTTCACTACGCCACGTAAGCCCTAGCAGTCATTAGGGTTGGGCCTGGTCATCCAGCCCATCTCAAATGACCGTTGGCCCAGCGCTGGGGTCTCTTTATAAATACCCTCTTCCTCAAGAGGGTCAGGTAACTCTCTTTTTGCCCCTTTCTGTACTTTTGCTTCCACTCTGCCCAGTTTCTTACTTTGGCATCAGAGTGTCTTGCAGGTACACCCCCTCCTCCTTCTCATCACCGGTGAACAGGTACCGTCCAACGGCGTGTGGCCATATCGTGACTCCCTCCTGATCAGGTCAGACCAGTGGCGCCGTCTGTGGGAATCTGAAACTTCCCCGTTACTCCGAGCAGAAAACCAAAAGTTTCACCAAACCTCCACGATCATGGCTAGTCCACACCGCGACGACACTCCACACGACCTTGTGCTCAACGTCGCCACCAACGGGAGCAAGCAGACAGGAACGGCACGTCCGGCGGAAGCCGACGAAAGGGACGGGCAAACTGCTTCACCATCATCCGCGGAACGGCCCCTTCAGGCCGATCACCGACCCCCGAGCCCGCCAGCATTCCACCCCGTTCCCATCCCGGCGGGAGCGGACCCAACGGTGGCCGCTCTCTTCTCGGCCATCAACCAGACGAGCCAGTTGTTGTTCCAACAAAATGCAAGAATTGGAGCATTAGAACGCGTCGGCCCTCCGAGGTACCCCCCGCGGGAAGACCAGAACGGAGGTTCGAGGAGTCCCTCACCTCGACCCAGAAATCGTCGACCGCGGATGGAGAGACACCGCCCACAGGTGGCACGAGAACGCACCAGATCCCCAGCAAGACACGTTCGCGAGAGGAACCAGAACGCCGCGGCGATCCCAACCGAGGACCCCCGAGGCGAGAACTCAGGCAGGAGATCGAGAACCCGAAACCAGGGGCATACCTTGAACGGCTCATCTCCCCACAGATCCCCGGCGCACAGCGACGAGGACGATTACCGCACCCCGCTGTCCCGGGAGATCATGGCTGCCCCCATACCCCAGGGGATGGAGAAACCACCGACGCTGTCGACATACGACGGCACATCCGACCCGGACGATCACCTGGAAGACATCGAGGCTATGCTCGACTACCGAAACGTCCGGGGAGCTATCAAGTGCAGACTCTTCCCGACGACTCTGAGGAAAGGCGCTATAACCTGGTACAAAAGTCTGGAGCCCGAATCAGTTACGTCGTGGAGGGTCTTGAAGGACCTATTCTCAAAACACTTTACGGCGTCCCGACGTCACCCGAAGACAGAAGCAGTCCTCGGGGCAATTATCCAAGGCCCCGACGAACCTCTCCGAAAGTACATCAAAAGGTTCACTCGGGAAGCAGTACAGGTGACAACTTCCGACGAAATGAAACGCTACTTAATGGAACAAGGCCTGCGCCACGACTCCAAATTCTACGAGGCCGTAGACATACATCGGCCAACATCCCTCCAAGATTTCCTCGACAGGGTCGCGCATTACATCCGATTCGAGGAAACACAGGCGGCCAACTCCGCTCGTGACACTCGAGACAGGGAGGCCCCCGCGGGCACCGAGACGACAGAGCTTCGAGCCATCGACGGGGAGGAGACCGCCGTCGGGAAGACCGCCCCCGCGAACCCCGCGAACAACGCGAAACACGTGGCCCAGCAGGAAGATTCACAGAGTACACATCGTTGATCGCTTCACGTGAACGCATACTGGCCGAATGCGCTAAAACCGAGTTCGTACAGGGGGATGTCCGTTTTCCGCGACCAACACCGCCCAAACCCAACGTGGACAAATCAAAATACTGCCGATTCCACAGGACCCACGGGCACGTGACAGAAGACTGCATCCATCTCAAAGATGCGATCGAAATTCTAATCAAAGACGGGCACCTGAAGCGATACACCCGAGGAGGTGAACCACCTAGGCCAGAGGCTCCGGAAGCCAAGAAAATCGAGGAACTTCCCTCTCCAGAGGACAGCAGCAGGCTCCAGGTCGCGTTGTGCGTCAGCCGCCCCGAGGATTGGTTCGCGGGCAGAGAATTCGGCATCCCCGAAGGACCCAACCTAGTCGACGAGCCAATCCGACCAACCAGCCGATGGGAATACTTCCCCAGAGCCATGGTCATCTCTGATGGAGCCACGAGGAGTCTATCCATAGGATCTGTGAAAAGGAAATTCGACGAACTCATCGCGAACAACTCCGGCAAAATGAGCACGCTCGACAAATTCCGAGGCCGCTCCAACCCGATCACATTTTACCTCGAGGAACTACCCGGGGGATCTCCCAATTCCAGCATACCCTTGCTCATACGTGCCCGAATGGCAAACTTCGACGTCAGGAGCCTCCTCGTCGACGGTGGGAGCTCGG